GGGCCACGGTGCTCGGAACTTGCCACGATGGGGCTTCAAGAGGAGCGGAGCCGGAGCAGCAGCGGGAATGGGGGCCGGGAGGAAGCTGGAGCCGGGGGCCGGGCGCGAAGTTGGTCTCCGCCGCCTGAGGTCAGCCGCTCCGCGCACGTCCCCTCGCTGCAGCGCTACCGCGAGCTGCACCGGCGCTCTGTGGAGGAGCCGCGGGGTGAGGCCGGGCCCGGGCGGGCCTGGGGGCGACAGTGAGGAGAGTTGTGGGGCTCCCCTGGGGGACTTGGGGCTCCCTTGGGAAGTTGAGAGGGCCCTGAGAAGATGGAGGTTCTCTGCGGGAAGAACTGCGGCTCTTTGGGGAGATGGAAAAGGGATATCGGGAGGAGTTGGGGGTTCTGTAAGAAGAAGATTGCCTGGCAGTTGGGGAGATCCCTGAGGCCTTGGAGGTTCCGGGGGGAGCTGTGAGTTTTCGTGGGGAAGTAGGTGTTCTGTGAGGAGATGCAGGGTTCCGTGAGGAAAGAAGTGAGATTTCCTGAGTAGACTGAAAGGGGAGGGGATGTTCCGTGAGGAAATTTAAAGTTTCATGAGAAGAGAGAGTTCCAGAGGCAAAAAGAGGAGCTCTCAGGGGTAAAGGGGAACCTCGAGGGCAAGAGGGCCCTGAATAGAACTTTCTTTGCCTGCCTTACATACCATCTCAGTCATTACCCCTGAGGCCTCTAACCTGTCAACACGTGTCAACTGTTGAAGGACTTGTATGGGTTTGGTTTTTAAGCTTGGAGTCCTCAAAATTAGTAATGGGCTCTCAGATTTTTTTTTAAGAATTATTTATTTAATTTTATGTATTATTGTTTTATTTTGAAATTTGCTATAGGGCATGTGTGTTCACCAGAGAGAGAGAGGGAGGGAGAGAGAAAGTGAGAAAGCAAGCTGCCAGGTTCAGGAATCAAACCACGATTGTTCATGCGGGAGTTAACCATCATGCTACCTACTGGCTCCCAGATCTATTTTTAATATATCAGGAACCCTAATTGAAATTACTTTCTTGAGTATAGACTCAATAAGTCACTTAACTGTCAATTTTTTTAAAAAGGTTGGACTGGGATTGTAATAGCGCAGAGATTCCAATACATGATTCCATGTGGTTAACAATGTGAGAGGATGGACCAGCAGTTAGCG